GCTTTATTTTCGTTTATTCCCTCTTTCCCTACATCTTCTCAGCACATCCCACAATATTACATCGAGTATGAAATTGCTGTCGGTTTAGAACGGTTTATTCGGTTTAGTCGGTTTATTCTCATATTGAATTTCTTATACGTTGAATATCGACCTTAAAAGTAATAGAAAACTACGGTAAAGTATTTACCTAAAGTATTCAAGGAAATTTGAATGCATTATAATTCGTTGCGTGTGTATGCAATATACGTAGAAAATTATTTAATTAAATCTGCAGATCATGGAACAATTTAATCTGGAATCAGCACGTATCGCGAAAGGTTTCCGCTCAAAGAAATCCCCGGATATTGTGCCCGTTTCCCAATTTAATAATAGAAAAAGTTTCCAGTGTTAGAAATTTAACAAGAAACCCAGGCCCTGACCGCGCGCTCTACATGGCTTCTAAACTTTCCCATCTTCCGTTGTTCGGTTCAAGCATTCAAGTGGAGATCGCTGCAATCTCAGCCAAAGGGATTCCATAGGGAATCGATATGCGAATGTCGGTTAGGGGCTGGAGAGCTTTGAACGACGAAAGTTGATTTTATCCCCTCGCGTTACAGCAGATTGAAATCATTTAATCAATCGAATTTTCCAACACATTTTGCATCAACCTATAGATACCTTCCTGTCGGTGATTAACTCGTTAATTAGATTTTACGGTGAAGCAGTTATATATTGTACATTGCTGTATTGCTTTTCAATCTCGTAATTATTAAAAGACTCACTTCGGAGTGCAATTTCGATGAATTACGGAACGAAGATTGCATAGCTATAGAGAATCCTTTGGTAGCTTGTATAATGTATTATATACAATTAGTATGGCCCGATATATATGCCTATTATTATATTTTAATTATATATATTATATAATACTAATAATTATAATACTAATACTATTATATATATTATTATATAAGTCATTATGCTTGCTCGAAAATTATTCCAAATTCGCATTGCGAACGAATATCCGCTTGGGACAGCTAATATTTGAGCCGTTTATTTCGAAAGTGGCATAAGTCACTTTATTTTTAAGTAGGTCACTTTGTTTTTAAGTCGATATATTTAAGAGTTTCCGTTTTAACACGTTTAAACATATTTTAAAAATATTTTTCTCAGTATAAATAATTTCGTATAAACATTAAAAAATCACCACTTTTCATTACGGTAATGTGAATATACAGACACTCTGTACAGTACATATCGGACTCTGGCGTCCAGAGAAATAGCCTCGCGCAGAATTCAGCCGTACCTAAAAGGTTAACAGGCTTCCGATAACGAACGCGTTAAATCGCAAGATGTAGCAAGACGGAAATTTTAGTTACGCTGAAGACGGTATAGAGGATTCCGTGAGCTGTGTGGAAACTGTCCTCGATTTTTGAAACGATGACTTGAAATTTTTTGATCAGCCGACAGTTTCATTGACAAAACCCGACTCGAATGGTATTGTATTTATCTAAGACGGGTATCGCTCTCGAGGAACACGCGGCCCAGAAACTCCGGCATACCTGACTCGGTTGAAATCATTTTGTTATCGGTTATTTCTAAGTTGCGGAATAGCGTAACACGTCGTTATCGGAGAAATTTTCTGTTAAATTGAATAACTTCGGCGAACTGTCGGTAGGCAGACGAAGAGGCGTTCAGCTTCGTGAAGTTCCAAGATGAATCTACTGGGAACAGTTCGCCGGTACTTTCGTCAAATTTCTAGGCGGGCGCGATACGATCTCGCTCCATTTTCGTATTAAATCAGACATACCTTGTCCGGACATACCGCTCCTCGTCCCGCCGTGCTCTCTCTTTTTCATCTTCTCGCCTACACCTCCCGACTGTCTCGGAATTCCTAAACGAAATATTATACCGGCCGAGAAAACAGCCATAAGACAGCCGGATATGCGCGCGGGCCTGTGTTTTATTGCCGGCAAGCTTGAATAAATATGCGGACGCCTCTGCCACGACCTCCTATCCGGCTGCAAAAATGATAAAGAAGGGTATCGGCTGCTCGGCCACACTGAAATCCACGAATACCTATGGAAACGTCCTGTCGTGAACGCAGTTCTCTTCCGCTTGGGTTCAATGCGGACCCCATTCCCTCTGTCACAACCATTTTTGGAGGTCTTATCGCATCATTTCGGTCCTGAGCTATATCCGTTCCACGTCGCCGCTGATAACACGACAAATCCCGTCGTGCTCGGTTCCTTCGTTCTTGCTACTGTAGCTACCCGTGCTTATGCAGACAAAAAAGTATTCGATCGAGTAATTTCAGCGTCTATCATGATTAGTCACACGTTTGGTATAGAAAGTATTTTTGTTAACGATGAAAGCCAAATCTAAAGAAAATGTTACTATAAAAATGAATATGTTTATATTTTGTGCAAATTACCTTTCCAACACTCAATTTTATGAAAATGAAGATAAGGAAAAACAAGTCCTTACGGGAAAAATAAATTGAAGATATTATCCATGTTGTATTTCAAATGTTTGCATGCATTATACATGTACAACGATCCGCAATCTAATTAAGAAGTACTGCATGATCAAACGTGGAACACATCTGAAAATTGAATGTTGCTATGTCCATCGTAAACCTATTGTTTTCAAAATTGATTTGCGGTTCATTGTTTCGATGCAGGTGCACGAAGCAACAATACGTTTGTCTTTCTTCGCATTAGCCCATGTTTAGCACAAGACAGTAAAGAAAAGGCGAAGCTTTAAAAGGAAAAATGGTAAAACGATTTCAAACAATACTTTAACCCTTTGCACTCCGAAACATTCTGGACGTTGGCTACCAGCTACTCAGCGCCACTTTTCGGCAGAAACGGGCATTTACAGACCCTCGTATTATTTAGTATGGTTTTGGAACTAACTAACATATTATAATGATATTGGACCTGTCTCTTATACACATCTCCTTTGAAGTGCTCGGACCGTCGTGAGCACGCCTCTCGCGTTCTCGTCAAAACCAGCTGACATTTCTTGAATATATCTTAGTAATTTTACTATATTAGATTTGATTTCGTGTGTCATTTCAAGAGAAAACTTCAGAGAAACTGTCTCTTATACACATCTCCTTTGAAGTGCTCGGACCGTCGTGAGCACGCCTCTCGCGTTCTCGTCAAAACCAGCTGACATTTCTTGAATATATCTTAGTAATTTTACTATATTAGATTTGATTTCGTGTGTCATTTCAAGAGAAAACTTCAGAGAAACTGTCTCTTATACACATCTCCTTTGAAGTGCTCGGACCGTCGTGAGCACGCCTCTCGCGTTCTCGTCAAAACCAGCTGACATTTCTTGAATATATCTTAGTAATTTTACTATATTAGATTTGATTTCGTGTGTCATTTCAAGAGAAAACTTCAGAGAAACTGTCTCTTATACACATCTCCTTTGAAGTGCTCGGACCGTCGTGAGCACGCCTCTCGCGTTCTCGTCAAAACCAGCTGACATTTCTTGAATATATCTTAGTAATTTTACTATATTAGATTTGATTTCGTGTGTCATTTCAAGAGAAAACTTCAGAGAAACTGTCTCTTATACACATCTCCTTTGAAGTGCTCGGACCGTCGTGAGCACGCCTCTCGCGTTCTCGTCAAAACCAGCTGACATTTCTTGAATATATCTTAGTAATTTTACTATATTAGATTTGATTTCGTGTGTCATTTCAAGAGAAAACTTCAGAGAAACTGTCTCTTATACACATCTCCTTTGAAGTGCTCGGACCGTCGTGAGCACGCCTCTCGCGTTCTCGTCAAAACCAGCTGACATTTCTTGAATATATCTTAGTAATTTTACTATATTAGATTTGATTTCGTGTGTCATTTCAAGAGAAAACTTCAGAGAAACTGTCTCTTATACACATCTCCTTTGAAGTGCTCGGACCGTCGTGAGCACGCCTCTCGCGTTCTCGTCAAAACCAGCTGACATTTCTTGAATATATCTTAGTAATTTTACTATATTAGATTTGATTTCGTGTGTCATTTCAAGAGAAAACTTCAGAGAAACTGTCTCTTATACACATCTCCTTTGAAGTGCTCGGACCGTCGTGAGCACGCCTCTCGCGTTCTCGTCAAAACCAGCTGACATTTCTTGAATATATCTTAGTAATTTTACTATATTAGATTTGATTTCGTGTGTCATTTCAAGAGAAAACTTCAGAGAAACTGTCTCTTATACACATCTCCTTTGAAGTGCTCGGACCGTCGTGAGCACGCCTCTCGCGTTCTCGTCAAAACCAGCTGACATTTCTTGAATATATCTTAGTAATTTTACTATATTAGATTTGATTTCGTGTGTCATTTCAAGAGAAAACTTCAGAGAAACTGTCTCTTATACACATCTCCTTTGAAGTGCTCGGACCGTCGTGAGCACGCCTCTCGCGTTCTCGTCAAAACCAGCTGACATTTCTTGAATATATCTTAGTAATTTTACTATATTAGATTTGATTTCGTGTGTCATTTCAAGAGAAAACTTCAGAGAAACTGTCTCTTATACACATCTCCTTTGAAGTGCTCGGACCGTCGTGAGCACGCCTCTCGCGTTCTCGTCAAAACCAGCTGACATTTCTTGAATATATCTTAGTAATTTTACTATATTTGATTTGATTTCGTGTGTCATTTCAAGAGAAAACTTCAGGGAAACATTTGCAAACAGTTGCAAAACTTCAGGCAACCAAAAAGTTGCGCTGAAATAACTCAATCCCCCGTAATCACTAATAAACTTTAATGTCCCACGAGAGGGGACATCCGAGTGATATGCTAGAATTACGATGTCCCACGAGAGGGGACAGCGGCGTGCAAAGGGTTAAAGAAGATGTTTACCGAACTCCTTAATCTCCACATCATCATCTACCATTCGCCGCAAAAACAACTTAATTTTCCCAGTATCGTGTACAATTTCCTTCCACGATCGGTTTCCGTCCGATCCCACGAGCCGCAGCAAGTAAAATCGCCACGTGTATCTGTTTCCAGGGTACTCGGCCATCGTAACATGCAGTGAAACGTACCACTCGTAAGCAGCACCGGTATGTATCCTCTTCTTTCACGATTGAATTTCCCATGTGCCCTTTCGCGAGCACACGAGTCACGCTTTGGCGAGCGTCCACGCGTGGAAATCGAGTTCCCTAGTGGTATCGTTCGATCGGCTTAGGAGCCGCTAAGCCCGGACGAGGGGATCTCGAAGTTATACAAAAATCCGTGGGAAACTCTCGCGACGGACGATTCGCGGGAAATACGGCGCACACGATCCGCGCGGCGTGGACTCCGCGCGGCGGCCGCGCGCGTTCGTCCGTCCCTCATGAATTTCATAAACTTTCATCCGTCCTGTACAATTGAAGTTTCACGAGGCCCGTGAAAATTGGCGTGATTCGCCGATCTCCCGGATCCCCGTTCAAATCGAAATCTAAGCCGCGGCGTCGATATACGGTGGCTCGTACGATAAATTCCGCTCGGTTTTCCTGCCGGAAAATGGGGTTACGAGATGCGGCCGCTGCGACCGACCGATCCAATCAACTTAGCCAAGAGACTTATGACAGGAATTCCCTGGAACGAGGTGAAAGTGCAACTACCTTTGGGCAACGAGGAGAAACCGGCGCGGCGGACGATCGTTCGGACGATTCCTTGCGAGCGCACACCTTTGTTCCACCCCGACTTTAAACTATATTCTTAATCGAATTCCGAAGGTTTTATCTCCGTCGGGAGTGCATTATCGAGCGGAGCAATAATACTAAATTTTATTCGACCGTACGACCCCGTGCCGACTCCTCGGTTTCAGGTCTTATCAATCTAATTTTAACATGCCTCGGCCATAAACGCAGATCGTTGCACCGGGCGCAAAGACAGTAACGTGATCCGTGCCAGAAATTGGTCTTCGTAACAGGCTCGGCGAAAACGGCCTTTCAAAAATTCGTCATAATTGGACTGCGAATGCTAGATGCGTTCATGATAAAAATCGAATGAATGGTAAACGTTAAATCGAATGGTAAACGTTAGAAACATTTAAAGAATTTAACAATGACATTGTGTTACGTTCAAATCATACAAATTATTAGAAAAGGAAATAGTTGTTAATATAGCTGTTTAGAGCTGTATGAATCTAGAGCAGGGGTGTCAAACTTGCGGCCCGAGATGAACATTTTTGATGTGAAGTATCAGGACGTAAACAATAATTTGACTTTATATATGTTTATTACAATGTACTAGTCAAAATAAAAATATTTGTTTCTATGAACATTGATTTTTTCTTTTTTTGCGGCCCACCTAAAGTTAAGCATTGTTTATTTGGCCCAAGTTAGCTTTCGAGTTTGACACCCCTGATCTAGAGGAAGGGAAAGGGTGGTGAAGAACAGGTAGATGATATAACTGTAGGTGATTCGAGGATAGAACATGAATCTTTTACAATGGTATAATACACTAGTACTTACACATATCTTGTAGCTCCGCAGTTTTTCTTACCTGACTCACACCCAAACAGATCATTTTGTATTGTTCCGAAAATTTGCGTTGTATGCTGCATCACACACTTGACCGGCTCCATCGACGTAGCAATAAATTAGAGAGGCCTAGAACTAGCACAGGGAAATTCACAGCAACCCGAAATTTGGTAAAAAGAAAATAAGGATACTATTAGGCATTGTCAATTTATACATTTTCTTACATTCAAAAAATCTGCATGTGTCATAAACGCATAAAGATTCGCAGTCTAGTTATAGGGGATTGTCGATACAGGGTGCCTACAAGAGACAAAGCGGTGGATGACCTAGTTAGGACGATACAAGAGACATTGACCTTGATGCCATTAAAGCCGAGATTAATGTCCCATGTAATATTGTCGCTCCATTGCAGGTTAATATGCCCGCTGTAAAGTAAAACCTATAAATCATCTTACATCCTTTATGGGTAATTTGCTGTTTTGAGAGAATTTGCTATGCACATTTCATAGAATTTGCTATGCACATTGCAAAATTGATGAAGAAACTGTTAGGTGCGAATCATTTAGTAGACCCATTCCACGTTGACATCTTGATTGAACGCGATAATATTAGCGATAATATAGAATAATTTGGACTGGTTGCTGCAACATAAGAATTTAAAATTAAGTCTCATTTTTCGTCCAGTTTTCATCATTTACTTCGCACAGTTGGAGAAACAGTGTAAAATTAGAGAAATGAAGAACACGTAAAATAATATTATCATAGATTAAACGTAATCCAAGTGTCGGCATGAAACTCGTCAGAATATTTTTAAAAAATTATATATTTTCAAGAGCACAAATATGACTTTTTCCTTTCACAGTCATAAAAATTGTAAAAGTAATTCCATGAGAAATTATTTGATGAACTTCTCTATTCAACCGTATATTACACAATTAGACTGCGAATCTTTATGCAAAATGAAAATTCAGATAGGCATTGCACTTCTTCTCCTATAAGTTTACCAATTTGCAAGAAATACACTACTATATTTAAAGTCTTCTTTAACTATCGCACATTTGACATATCCATCTTAATCATAAACGCGTAAAGATCCGCGGTCCAACTATTGAGTTGGCAACTAAGTAATTGCCGATTTGTTCAATGAAATAAACAATTTTTTTTACTTGGAACGAAGATTAATCTGTAATGTATGTTCCATTTTGTTCGATGAGCTTTTGCCATCTCTCCGACAACTTGAAAATTCCACGCTCGTAGAAAGTCTGATCCTTTTCGGCCAAAAACTGAGTTAAGTGAGATTTTACAGCGTCATCGTCATTAAAAATTTTACCACGAAGGGAGTTGTCCAGGGATCGAAATAAGCGGTGATCCGATGGCGCGAGATCAGGGCTATATGGTGGGTGTAACATGAATTCCGAAGCAATATCCATCAATTTTTGCCGAGTGGACAAAGACGTGTGCGGCCTAGTATTGTCCTGCTGGAAAATGACACCTTTACGATTGACCAATTCTGGTCGCTTTTCCTTGACCGCTGCATTCAATTTGTCCAGTTGCTAACATTCACGGATAATAAAAAATAACATAATAATAATAATAATAATTTTATAATATAACATTTACGGATATCATAAAAATGGGAGTGAGAGACATCTATAACTGAAATCGGCAATTACTTAGTTGCCAACCCAATATATTATCAAAACCTCCTCGTTGAGACTGAAGCTAATCCTTTTATTGGTTTCAATATTAACACTATGCCGTCCGGTGGCACCACGCTGGTGCCATGCAAAAACTATCTGTTGTATGCCGGTGGTACCACTTTGGTGCCATTTTAGAAAACTGAAATAACATTTGAACTATATTTCTTGGGTGTTAAAAAAGTCAGCAAGCTAACTATAGCATTGTGGTCGCTTTTCCTTGACCGCTGCATTCAATTTGTCCAGTTGCTAACATTCACGGATAATAAAAAATAACATAATAATAATAATAATAATTTTATAATATAACATTCACGGATATCATAAAAATGGGAGTGAGAGACATCTATAACCGAAATCGGCAATTACTTAGTTGCCAACCCAATAAAATGGCACTTCAGGAATACTGATCTCAGTGTTCATTGTGGTGTTACCTGATAAAAGATGATGCAACCTAAAAGAAATTTTTGAGCATGCATCAACATATGGTCTTAACACGGTCTAGAAGTGTAAGTTGTGATTTAAAATCTTAAAAGTTTGCCTTTCATTCATGTATTTTCGAATGAGATGAAATCCAAATTTGTATTTTTGTAAAGTAGACATTTCCTGTCTAATTGTTAGTACACGTCCAAGTCAGATTGTTTAACAGTCAGATGGCGGTGGTTACAGTTTTCATCTAATAATAATAATTTTATAATATAACATTTACGGATATCATAAAAATGGGAGTGAGAGACATCTATAACTGAAATCGGCAATTACATAGTTGCCAACCCAATATAATAGAAATTGTACGAAGTTCGAACAACTCGTCACCGCCGTAAAACAATATGCATTAGCCGCGTGTGAGACTGGGTAGTAATAACGTCAGAAGTTAAAGCCATTCATTTTTGCAAACGTTCATGTAGCACGCTGTGTAGAATCAGCCCCAACACGGATGACCATTAGTTTCCCGACACCGTGTACCGTCCTATCGGGCATCTCATCCTCTTTATCTGTACGGTGCCCTCTATCTCCGCCACGTTCCGTGTAAAATGCATCCCCCTTTATAACAATAATGACCCTCCGCCCTCAGTTCCCTCGCTGAATCATTCATGTCGTCGAGGGGGTCAAGTCTGCGGAGTGTTCGTCAGCTACCCTGCGATTACCGTGCATTAGTCAAGGCAACTTCGCGTCCCTGAAGAGGAGAGAAGTGGCCTTCCGCAGAACGGGGAAGCCTCGGCGGCACCGTCCCGCTGCTTCCATGTATTTCATTGTCGTTCTTCCACCGTCTTTCTCGCGGTAATAGAAACCCGGTTACACGGCCGATTCCTCTCCCGTCGAGGAACTTGACATTGCGATGCCTCTTCCGGGGCGCTTCGGTTCCCGATTCAGTGTACGCGGACCGTGGACCTTCTTTCGATTTTCATTCAGACGCTTTTGCCAGCTCGTCGGGTACATTACAAAATCATTAGATACGCTGAATTATGTCCGCTAGTTTAAAGCTGTCGTATAAATAATTTCTGTACAATTTTTGTATAAAGCTTTGATACCTTAGTTACTACAAAATAAAGAATTGCTGATATTTCTGGTGCTGCATTTTTTGTTTTGTTTTAACGATGCTTCTGAAATTAAAGTCCAACAGTTCGGAATGTCATAAAAAATTCTTCAGAAGCGACGACAATTTCATCCAAAATCGAACACTTTAAGCGAATTAGATTCCGAGTGAAAATTGAATTGATATAATCAATAATATAATTAATTTTCTCGAAAGTATTATTTAAAAGAAAATTGTAATAATATATAACATATAACCTTAACATTTTAAGCGAATTAGATTCCGAGTGAAAATTGAATTGATATGATCAATTATATAATTAATTTTCTCGAAAGTATTATTTAAAAGAAAATTGTCCA